CGGCCATTTTAAGGCCGAAAATGCATTGAAATCGCACATTTTCACCATTCCGGACCCGGATCTCAGTTATGCATGGACGGATTTTGTTCAAATTTGGTACATACATTAAACATAATAGGACCTTGATGCACGTCATTTTTTTTTCAAATCAAGTTTGAAATGGCCGACTGGCGGCTATTTTGTTTTAAAGAATTCAGTTCTGGATCCGTATCCGAGACATGTCTTGATTGATCAAGTTCAAACTTCACACACACATGGTACATCATGTCACAAATAAATATGTGCATTTGTTTCATGATCCGCTTAACAATAGCTGAATGATGGCCATTTTAAGGCCGAAAATGCATTTCGGATCAGACCACTTAAAGTGGTCTGAGATTTCGGTCATGATCTGCTTTGAATGTATATGTCACTCAAATATGAACAGAACGGGGACGTGTCATTGACAATGACTTGTTTATTTGTGTGTTTGTTTCTTCTATTTATTTGTTTGTTTCTGCTGTGTATTTGTTTGTTTATTAATTGTAGTAACATAAAGAGAACTTTTCAAATCTTAAAAAACAATTAAATTGGATGAATTACAATGTATAACATTTAACTTCAGATAAGTTGAGTTGTTATACTTTCTCTAGTATTTGCCATACGTGTTACACATAACTGCACATAGATTGGTGAGTGATGTCTGTATGATCCTAAGGTAGATATAGTCAAAATATACTATCTATATTTAGATACGACATTCTAATAATAGCTATCAGATAAGACTAACATTTAGCCATTTACTTGGAAAATATCAAGTATTTTGGGATTCTGCACTTTGAAATCTCATGGATTAACCATTATGGGATGGGGGTGGAAACTTCAAAGGAGGGTCGATAATGTTAACAAAAATGTTTGTGTTGGTGAATGGTCTGACTGATCAGCCATGTATCTGTCATCCATTGTCCATTAGAAGTTGTAGGAAAGTTCATACTAGTCAAGGACTTTAGAGCATTTATAGATTTGTGTTTTTTTATCTCTGCTGTTATTGTAGCATGCCAAGTGAAGTGCTTATGCAGTCACCATCATCTACAATCCTGTTTTCATTTTGTTCTTGAAAACCACCCACCAGGTTATGTTATTGGTGGAACTTCGGTTGAAGATTTTTTGACTCCTGTGTGCAAAGCACACGATGGGAGTCTTTGCAGTTACCCTGTCTGTGTGTGTGTGTGTGTGTGTGTGTGTGTGTGTGTGTGTGTGTGTGTGTGTGTGTGTGTGTGTGTGTGTGTATGTGTGTCTGTCCATTCCACTGATATCTCAAGAACTGTATGTTTGTTTTTAATGAAACTTTGTGTATAGATGCTCTGGGCTAATGCGCAGATTTGATTAGGTTTTGGTTGAAATCCATGCATAATAATTACCTTATTTGCATGATAATTAGCTAATTTTTAGCTGTTTCTTGACTGTTCCATTGATATCTAAAGAGCCATTCATTAGATTTTGATGAAACTTGGTACATAGATGCTCTGGACTAATTTACAGATGTGATTAATTTTGGGTAAAAATTTATGCATATGATTAATATAATTTGCATAATGATTAGTCAATTTTCAGCTTTTCCAGCGATATCTAAGTACTAATCATCACATTTCAATGAAACTTACATAGATACAAAAGACGATGCACAGACAGATATGTGAAATATTAATTACCTAATTTGCATAATTAATAAATTTTCAGCTTTTGATATTTCAAGTACTATTACTTCGTTACTATATGGTACATAAATTCTCTAGAACAATCCAAAGACCTGATTAATTTTAAGTAAAAATGTGTACATATTAATCAACTAATTTGCATAATAATCTTGGTACAAAGATTTTCTAGAACAATGCACAGACCTGATTAGTTTTGGGTTAAAATCAGTGCATATTAATTACCTAATTTGCATAATTAGCTAATTTGCATAATTAGCTAATTTTCATCTTTTACACTGATATCACATGTACTAATTATTCCATTTCAATGAAACTTGGTACATTGATGTCCAGAACAATGCACAGTATATTATAATAAATCATAATTTTTGGTTCTAATCGCATTTCAATGAAACTTCGTACATAGATGGTCTGTGACAGTACTTACTTTAATTCAGTGAATCTTGGGACATATGTACTCTTAACACAATGTGATGATCTAATTAGTTTTAGGTTGATATACATCTATAATAATTACCTAATTTGCATAATAATTTATATTTCAGCTTCCCACTAATTTAGTTAGGATTAATCATCACATTATAATGAAACTTTGTACAAGTGCACCCTGAAACAATATACAGACCTAAATCTATGCATAATAATTGCTTAATTTGTATAATAATTCATTTGGTTTATATAATTTTTGCTCTTAAATTCTATTTGAATTTCTCAGTCCATTAATTGCACTAATTAATATTATTTTCACACATTGTTTTTTTATGTAACATTTTGCTCACTCAAAGGTTTTATTATGGATCCAATGATCACCCCTAATATGGAATGGTTTACCCCACAAGAGCATTAAGCCATTCTAGTTTGTTATGAATTCTGTGTCAACCCAAATTTCTTTTGCCTCATGACAAAATAGAAAACACATTAAACGTTTAATGGCTCCCTCATGTACTTGTTGAGATATTTAAACAAAACTCTTTCTTTTAACACTTAATCTTTTCACCACCTGATCTCTTTTTTTCATAACATTTCACAAAATAGTCATGTTTATGGTCTGCACTTTCAGAAGATTGGGACAAAAATAACCATATTTAAAGTAAAAACTGAGTAAAAACTAAAGTGTAAAAAAGTAAAAACTGAAAATTTACTAAAATTTAGTCAGTTGGCACCAAAATTAGGATTCATTTCTAGAATATAAAAAAAAAGTGACGAAAAATGTGGGTGAGAAAGTCTGGTGGTGAAAAGGTTATTGCAATTATAGCTATAAACTGTAAAACATTTTATTTTCAGTGTTATCAATTTTGGCGATTTGACAATTTTCAAAATTTGCTGTCACTCCCTAATATCGCAGTATAAGTCATTATAGCTCTTTGGGACATCAGTAAAAGTTCCTCTGGCTCCTTGGGACCCTAATGATTGTCTCTGTGACTCCCTAGCACCCCAGTGAAAGTCACTGTGGCCGCCTGTCTTACTGATGTAAAAAATGTTCACTGCTGCATAATTTTTTCCCTGATTTGAGAACAGTGTGTCCTACATGGTATGATGCACTGAGATTTGTTGTGCCAAAACAATTAACGCTCATTCCATGAGGTTGAACCCTGGATGAATCAAACACACACTCAATATAGGGGTACTAAATTCACTGGCTGATTCATTCACTTACAGATGTGACTTTGGATGGAAAAACCTTGAATTAGGTCCACAGGTGTTTGAGTTCTAGTTGACGCCCAGATAGCACATTAAATTGCCATTTGAGAGATTGGTGTATAGGCTTATCATGAAGTAATATGAATGTGGTTTCTGTATGTATTTTAGACTGCAACAAACAATCTTAGGTGACAATAGTGATTGACATGCAGTGTTCAGAATTGTTTCCCGGCACAAAAATATATTTTTAAAAAAGTGAAACTGATTACTAGTATTGATACTGATCTTGTAACAACTGATGATTGATTTGTTCTTTCTATCTATTTTATTATTTTTAGAGTCATACCACTAGCCAGAGATGGGGAGGTGGACAATGCTGTTGTACAGTATCTCAATAGGTAAGACAGTACTAGAAATAATCTGACCATTAGAACTCTGGATGATTGGGAAGTCAAATTTCAAGAGATTTGAAGTAAAAACCTGAAAATTGAACATAATAGCATCTTGAATTTTATACTTGGTATTCTCTGAAACTGTTGGAATGATAGAATTTGAACAAATCACCGGAAACTCGTGAATTAAACTTCCAAGCGACAACTTGGTAAATTGGTATTTTGCATTGGTATCATATTTACATTTTGAAATATTAAGTTGAAATATCAGTATGTTCAAGTCCCAAGATAAAGATAAATTATTTGTTTGCAATATCAAATTTTTGCCAACAGGTTTCTGTATTTAATGATTGTTCCCTAAGAAATCAATTAATGATGAAAAAAATGCAGTGGATGATCCATTGCCAAAATAAATAATTATCACTATTTCCATACCCTTCCAATGATCTGTCTATAAGACTGGCACATTTCTAATTTAAGTATGTTTAATTGGTTTGTTTTTGTACTTTTAAAACCTGAAGAATTCTATATTTAGAGCACAATGTTGTGCACTTTGGAAGTAAAGGCAATTAAGAGTATTTTATCATTGTAAGTGTTCTTTCAATTATACATGTATATTGGACATACATTTGTAGCTAAATGTAGATTGTCATGATGACAACCTAGTAAATGATGGGGTTTTTCACCTTTAATTACTGTAAAAGGATTAATTATTCACTGGGTTTTAATTTTGCTTATTTCGCTGGCTGGAAAATGCGCTAAATTAAAACCCAGTGAGTATGTAAAAATTTAGCATAGAACACACTATCTAAATGATAAAACCGTGAATTTAAAACCCACTGAATATGCCTGAAATGGTAAATCAGCGAAATTTAAACCCAGTGAAAATTAATCATTTTTCAGTATTGAAAACCATACCATTCCCTACTTTACCATGAAATCCTGGCAACAAGGTCAAGGTTCATCATTGTTAGAATCAAATGAGAAGTTTAAAAGAAAACATGACATTTGAGTGGATCAACACATTAAGTTCACAAGTCTTTCGCTGTTACAACTCTCTACACGACTATTTGTTTACCATTGATACCCGGTATATGTCAACCATTTATGACTCTGTCATGTTGTATGACCGCTCGACAAGGATTCAAACATGAGTAGTAGAATGGTGATTAACGGCTAATCAAGCACAAGCTGGAAGGTGAATGTTACCTGTAAACTATCAGCATGCATGTGTAGCTTATTATTTTATAAGCGGCCTGATCATTACATGCATAAACATCACAGATTGCACTATTTAAGATAAGAGAGACAACAATATATATTAAAGCGCAGTAGTCGTCGCGCTGCGCAAGTGCGACATTTGTGTTGATAAACATTGATTTTTCCACAATCCAATGCGTTCTTCAAATGGAAATCACAAGTATGAGGTTTGACCTGGGCGCGACTTGCATTGATTACCGCCGGTGACTCCTTGATACCTTCGAATAACATGAAAATTACCTCATTAAAGCTTGGAAACGTCTCAGTTCGTACTCGTTGATCTGCGCAACAGTCAAAGTCACCATCTTTGTTTATATGAGACCCATATATCTCGCACATGCGTAGACTACCGCGCTTTAAATATATTTAACATTCTCACCACCAGTTCCCTGTTTTCATCAATAACAAATCGTCCTCTTTTATAGTCTGTACTTTTACAGACAATTTGGACAAAAATAGCCACATTTTTTTAGTAAAAACCGAAAATTGACAAATTTTGTTTGTTATGGCTTCAAATTTAGGGTTTATTTCCAAAAATATTGAAGAATTTAAGAAAAAAGTGCAGAAAAATTTGGGAGAGAAAGTCTGGTGGTGAAAAGGTTAACATATCGCCTACATGTGCCGTTTTTTTCAATGAGAACCATTTTGGAACTTCAATGGAAGGCTTTCAGCAGGCAATTTTGTTTAACTAAATATGATTGGTTACATATACTGTTGTTGATTGGAGAGTTTTAAAACAAATTTTAGGGTACAATCATTGTCTAAAGTCTGTATGGTAATCATGGTTGGTCACATGATGTTCTTATCTGTATGCTTATATTGACAGACAATGTTGACAATGATAAGCATTAAATATATTGCTAACTTAATATGTTTGTCTTAACATTATGAGAAAACCATTAACAGATACTTTTAATATGCGTGATAACATTCATTGTTTGTTTCTCTACAATCAAGGTATATTTGGCTAATCTAAGTGTACTCCTTGTAATCACTCACATGGAATTACACACTTTTTCCTGTCTTTGTGTTTGTTTAAACTCATATCTCTATCTCATTGAATTTTAATGTCATTTTGTACATTTGAGCTGTGAGCTTATCCGCAGACCTGATTGTTTTTTTCTCTGAAATGTACATGTATAATCTGAATAATAATTCATCACTGGTTTAGCGTGATTGAGATTTCTACATCTCAAGGGCCATTCATTGGATTTTGGGGAATGGTAATGTAGACCCCTTAATGTTTTAATAAAAATTAATTAACTAATTTTTAGCTCCGCTGTCGACTTTGTCGAGCAGAGCTTATCATATGAGTGATTGTCGTCCGGTGTCCGTCGTCCGTGTCAATGTTTTACTTTTTCGACTTCTTCTTGAAAACTATGAGCCTGAATGCTTTGATATTTGGTGTATATGTACCTTGGGTAGACCTCTCTCAGATTTGTTCATTTTATGATCATATCTTCAATTCTCTAATTTTGGTGAATATTTTTGTCATTTTTGGTAAAAAGTGATATTTTCGACTTCTTGTTAAAAACCGCAAGTCCAATTGCTTTGATATTACATATATAGGTACTACATATGGACCTCTCTCAGATTTGTTCATTTTGTAATGATATCTTTAATTCTCTAATTTTGGTGAATATTTTTGTCATTTTTGGTAATAAGTGATATTTTCTACTTCTTGTTAAAAACCACAATCATTTATGGTGAAAAATGATATTTTTGAATTCTTGTTGAAAACAGCAAGTCCCATAGCATTGATACTATGCATATTGTTCATTTTCTAATGATTTCTTCTGTTCTTTAATTGAAATGTGCATTGCGAACAGCGGAACTATCTCAGCCGAGAGGCTGCTTGTTATAATATTCAAAGACTTAACCTGTTCCTGTCTTGTTTGTCAGAACATTATCGAAGAACAACTTATTATGTTGAAGAATTTTATTGGCTCTGCTGTTGTAAAAGCTGACAGCAGAGCTATTATTATTATTATTATTATTATTATTATTATTATTATTATTGGTGATTGTGTATCCCACATCCTGCAGCCCATGTGAACTATTCCTATGTATGACTTCTTATTAACTCTTATCTTGTCAGCCCCATGTATTTTTACACTGACTTGACCAGATAAGGGTTAAACTACCAGTCCAATAGCTTTGATACTTGATTCGCCTTAAGTGGACATCTGTCAGATTTGTTTATGGGATATAATGGTCATACATGTATTGTGAACACATACAGTATTCTATGGGATATGATGACAATACATATTGGCAACACGTACAGTACTCTATGGGACATGAAAGTCATACATACTGGAAACATGCAGATACAGTATTCTATAGGATGTGATGACCATCCATATTAGGAACACGTACAGCATTCTATGGGATATGATGGCCATCTATATCAGGAACACGTACAACATTCTATGGGATATAATGGTCATACATATCAGAAACATACACTACTCTATGGGATATGATGGCCATCCATATAAGGAACACGTACAGCATTCTATGGGACATGATAGTCATATATATTGGGAACAGATACAGTATTATATGGGACATGATGGCCATACATATTGGGCACACACAGTATTATATGAAATATGATGGAAGTACATATTGGGAACACACACAGTACTCTATGGGATATGATGAAAATACATATTGGGAACACATACAGCATTCTATGGGATGGGATATGATGGCAATACATATTGGGAACACATACAGTATTCTATGGGATATGATGGCTATACATATTGGGCACATACAGTATTATATGGGGGTTATGATGGCATTACATATTGGGAACATATACAACATTCTATGGGATATGATGGTCATACATATTGCGAACACATACTGTACTCTATGGGACATGATGGTCATATATACTTGGAACAGATACAGTATTCTATGGGATATGATGGCCATACATCTTGGATACACATACAACATTCTATGGGATATGGTGGCCATACATATTGGGCACACACAGTATTATATGGGATATGATGGCAATACATATTGGAAACACGTACAACATTCTATGGGATATGATGGTCATACATATTGCAATCACATACTGTACTCTATCGGACATGATGGTCATATATACTGGGAACAGATACAGTATTCTATGGGATATGATGGCAATACATATTGGGAACACATACAGCATTCTATGGGATATGGTGGCCATACATATTGGGCACATACAGTATTATATGGGGGTTATGATGGCAATATATATTGGGAACACGTACAACATTCTATGGGATATGATGGTCATACATATTGCGAACACATACTGTACTCTATGGGACATGATGGTCATATATACTGGGAACAGATACAGTATTATATGGGATATGATGGTAATACATATTGGGAACACATACAACATTCTATGGGATATGATGGTCATACATATTTGGAACACATACTGTACTCTATGGGACATGATGGTCATATATACTGGGAACAGATACAGTATTCTATGGGATATGATGGCCATACATATTGGATACACATACAGTACTCTATGGGATATGATGGCCATACATATTGGTAACACATACAGTACTCTATGGTGTGTGTCTGTTTCACTGATATCTCAAGAACCATTCAACAGATTTCAATGAAGGTTAATACACAGATGCTTTTGGATAATGCGCAGACCTGATTGTGCATATTAATCACTTAATTAGCCAATATTTAGCTTTTAAATCAATAGATAACAACTGCTATATGCTCTGGGATAAGCCATATACATGTTCACAAGCCGGCGCCAGCGAAATTCCAAAGCCAACCGTTTAGTCAAAACCAAAGCAGTTTAATAGCCAATTTGCTAGCGAATTTGCAAATTGGCTGCCCCAATACTTCTGGGACTTGCTGTAATGAAACTGGGTAAATAGATGCTTTTGGATAATCCACAGATCTGATTACTTCAGTGTTAAAATCAAGGCATAATAATTATCTACTTAGTATAAATGTATCCTCCGTAATGTGCATAACTATAATGTACTAAGACTGCTGCATCTTTAGAGAGAAAAAAATATGTCTATCAGTTGTTAGCAATAATATAGAGGTAACACTATGTAACCATAACAGAAAAAGTAACTTTACTGCAGTAACATGCGATTAGGGAATTATGGAAATCTCAGAAAGTGGGAGTCAAGTATTGACTCATATTGTTTTTGATTGTTTTTTGTGCCAGGCGACAGTTGTGGACATTGAATGTCATTATTGTCTCTCCTGACTTTTTTTTTATATGTGAAAATTGCAAGTACTAGTGCTGACACATAGTGCATTTTTGCCACAAAAGCCATATTCATGTTTGGGACTACATGACAGGGTTGTGCGGCCATCTCTGTCAACCAGGCTCGATCGAACACAAGAACCTGTGGACCTTAACCATGGTTCCCCCAAAGTCGCATTCGTCAGTGAATGAATCTCGGCCAGTGGAATTGGCCTTCCTATTGAGTCAGTGGCACACTCACCCAGGGTATGAGTCTACCCTTTCGATGTTCAGCCTAAGGTATGATTTGAACTTGGGTCTACCGATCATGAGACTGATGTGACAACCACTATGCTACCAGTGACCGGTATTAAGTATATTTATTTTTTTGATGAGTCGAAATACAAGGGGTAAAAACAGATGTACTTGTACTTGGCGGTACATCTGGTGACAAGATCAAACTCACATCTACATTTCTCAAAATCCTATGGGAGTTTAGTCAGCATGTTTTCGGTTGTTTTTCTCTTTTCCCATGGTGGATGATGTTTAAGTTTATTTATATTCATTCACTAAAATTTGATTCTCTAAACATTCTTTATACTTTATATTATGTTTATTAGGACCCTTGTGTATCATCTCGGCACCTTGGATATATTTTAAGATCATTTGGAGTAATAACATAAAGGGTTAATTTTTATTGGTAGATGTTTTTCTTGATTTGATGGTCTGTTAAAGGCACTCATGAGGTCAAAATTTTGGCAAAATTCATTGTGACTTGTAGCACATGTGCCTACAGGAGGCTAAAAAAACATTGTTTACATAGCAACCAGTTTTTATAGAACTACTCAGAGCACAGTGCACATTTACAGTTTTTATTGATAAATTTAAGTACTACATTAGATATGACCATTGTGTTTATCTCATCATACCCGTATTGCATTTTGTTGAACAACATGTACCACATTGTACACATGATGTAAATTCTGACCAGAGAAAAAAATGTCACAAAGTTTTGATTTTTCATCAATTCATGAAATTTGTTTACAAAATTATTACGGTTTTCACTTTGAACATTCTCATTGTTAAAGATTATTTTCTAAGTTTAAAAAGTACTTATCAAAACTTTATTTTTAGTTTCTGTCAGAATATAGAAAAAATTAGAAGTACTTGTATTGTAATATTATTATTATTATCAATTTTGGCTTTAAACATTCATATATTACTGGTATGTAAAATAGTTTGCATTGTTAAAAATTACTTATTAGTAAAAACTTTATTTTTTGTTTCTGTTATAATATAGCAAAAACATAGAAGAATAAAGAAGTCCTGTCATTGGGCCATCAGGACCATAAAAACTGTTTGGAATATTGCAAACAAGGATATTATTATTGTCATTGTTCCTATACTGCTGTTTTATTAGCAGAATCTTACAGTATATTCCAACATAAAGTTAGACAATGATAAACACTTTCTAAACGCATAGTCTAAGAGGAAATCAATAAACTATTCATAGGATTTAATAACTGTGCTAGATTTAAGTATATAACTGTAGTATGTTATTGATATGCCTTCTTGGTGGCCATGTATTTCATGAACCAAAGATGACCCTACTATCATTGTCATGCCCTCTATGGGTGGCTTCATAAACATAGCAGCTTGAATTCTAGACTACTGTGTATCTCACATGGACGTGGATTATAGTAAAATTATTATTGCTGAGTGAAATGTTCCAATAAGTAAATGGAACAATGCCTATGAAAAGGGATAGCCAAACTTGTTTTTCAGGGAAACAGCGACTTTGAGTAACATTTGATTCTGTATTTGCCTCATGTAATTGACTTGTTTTAGATTAGCAGAAACATTGGTGTTGTATACACCTGCTAAATACTCTCAACAAGTAGTGTCAGTTAAACTCAATTATGTCACACTTTACCCACAATCCTTTGCTGGAAAATCAAGATGGCAGACTACATAATACATGTACTTACTTTTACAGTAATATTAAATGTAAATCATTATATTTTAATGGTTTATTTTATCTTTGTATTTTTTTTCCCATAGGCTGAGTGATTTCCTTTTTACCTTAGCAAGGTATGCAGCAAAGTTAGAAAAGAAAGAAGAAACTATCTACCGGAAAGTTCAACCACATAAACAAAAATAAATGTATTAAATGTCTAGACATAAATATTTGTAGTTTAGATGTTGTATACCTGCATGCTTATACAGAAAGACATTCACACAAGAATTGAGAAAAATAAGTTCATCCATAGATGGGAATTTAAAGGGCAATGGTCGTCATGTGATGCATGTTCGAATTTCATGTAAACAAAACACATGGTTTATACATCGCTATGAGTCACATATCGAACAAGACATGCCATTCAACCCTTTATATGCTAGATATTTTTCTACCGGAAATTTAGTGACAATATTTTCAGATTTTGTTAAAGTGGGAGGGTTGTCACTTGCACATTGCGGGAATTGAGTCTCAAGCGATGATAACAACACACGCTAACAAAACGCAAAGGCTCATGGGTAGACGCTTGTTTGTAAACAATGACAAGCTATGGCCATCTGACACATGCACAGGTGACGAATCCCTCGCTTTAAATTGTTGCTGAATTTCATCATAAATTTGTACGATACAGACAAGTTCAGAAATTGCTTTTTGTTTTCGATCAAAAGGTTTGTAAATTTTTATCAACATTTTAGACTACAATATCATTTTGTAGATTGTGCCAAAGTTTGACAATGGGGCTCAAAGTGTTATTAGCCACCAATGAAATGTTATGTGAAGAGAAAAAATTGATTTATCTATGCCACACTTTCTCAAGAGTATGGTAATTTGTGCTGATTGTTGGTTACACCAAGTGTAATAGTGTGTAGAACTATCGCTATGTGGATATCACAAGAATACTGCAAAATATGCACATAAACAGCTCAGTGTAAATATCAACTATCACATAACAAAGGTCCATACAACTATTATATATACTGCATACTGTCTGAGTGATTCAGCTGCATTGTGTATGAAGGCAAGGACTGGAAATCACAATCATGGAAATCAGTGTCCCTTAATTTCCACAATTTCTTGCTATGAATTTGTTATTCAAACATGTGCACCATCTCGGAAATGTTTATCTATTGTTCCATTTTTAGAATTTGCATTTCCTATTAAGGTAGGATGCAAATACCCTGTGCAATATAGCAAAATTACACCACAAGGTACTGTAAAATACTTTATTTTAGCTGGATTTAATTTTCGCTGAATTTTGTATGGAATTTATTTTCACTGATTTTTGATGAGTTGAATGTGAAATATAGGAAAAAAAGTTATATTTGCTAGATTTTATTTTCTATTGAATCATCCTTTCAACGAAATTAGAAAAAATTAATTCCAAGCGAAAATAAAGTATTTTACAGTAAGGTGACATGCAGCTATATATTTATAGATTATGTAATTTTTTCTGAGTTGGTTATGGTGATTACAGTGATACTCTGTTCCTTTTACCCATCATGTGATTGGCCGAGACTGTTGTGTATTTTAATCCAGACCTGATACCTATAATCATTACAAATCATGTACATGCTCTAAATTCTTCTTTTTCCCCAACCTGACTGTCAGATTCCCAGATTCATCAGCTGAATTATGGTCATTATATAACTTATCTGCTTCTTATGGATCACACTTACTGCAGCTAGATTCAATACATAGTTATCTGCAAGATGTGTAATATGTTTGTTTCCTTCGACATGTAGTTATCGTTTGTAGTGTGTTTATATTTACTATCACATCACATAATTAGTGTGTAATATTTGAGGAAGAAAAGCATTGCATGAATATGTGTATATAGGATTAATGTCATCAGTAAAAGTGTCTAAAGATATATAGGAGTGTCTGAGATTGTACAGGATTAATGTCAGTAAGAGTGTCTGAGATTGTACAGGATTAATGTCAGTAAGAGTGTCTGAAAATGTACAGGATTAATGTCAGTAAGAGTGTCTGAAAATGTACAGGATTAATGTGAGTAAGAGTGTCTGAAAATGTACAGCTTTAATGTCAGTAAAAGTGTTTTAAAATGTGCAGGATTCATGTCAGTAAGAGTGTCTGAAAATGTACAGGATTCATGTCAGTAAGAGTGTCTGAAAATGTACAGGATTCATGTCAGTAAGAGTGTCTGAAAATGTATATGATTCATGTCAGTAAGAGTGTCTGAAAATGTACAGAATTCATGTCACTAAGAGTGTCTGAAAATGTATATGATTCATGTCAGTAAGAGTGTCTGAAAATGTACAGGATTCATGTCAGTAAGAGTGTCTGAAAATGTATATGATTCATGTCAGTAAGAGTGTCTGAAAATGTATATGATTCATGTCAGTAAGAGTGTCTGAAAATGTATATGATTCATGTCAGTAAGAGTGTCTGAAAATATGCAGGATTCATGTCAGTAAGAGTGTCTGAAAATGTACAGGATTAATGTGAGTAAGAGTGTTTGAAAATGTACAGGATTCATGTGATTAGTAAGTGCTTGGAGATGTATATGATTCATGTCAGTACCAGTGTCATATAATACCTTATATTGTTTTTGTAGAATATACGCTTTCAGCAAAGGTCACAATCCAATGAATACTGATATGGCCAGGTCACGATTCAATGAATACTGATATGGCCAGGTCACGATCCAATGAATACTGATATGGCCAGGTCACAATCTAATGAATATTTATATGGCCAAGTCACGATCCAATGAATACTGATATGGCCAGGTCACGATCCAATGAATACTGATATGGCCAGGTCACGATCCAATGAATACTGATATGGCCAGGTCACGATCCAATGAATACTGATATGGCCAGGTCACAATCTAATGAATATTTATATGGCCAAGTCACGATCCAATGAATACTGATATGGCCAGGTCACGATCCAATGAATACTGGTATTGCCAAGTCACAATCCAATGAATACTGATATGGACAGGTCACGATCCAATGAATACTGATATGGCCAGGTCACGATCCAATGAATACTGATATGGCCAGGTCACGATCCAATGAATACTGATATGGCCAGGTCACAATTTAATGAATATTTATATGGCCAAGTCACAATCCAATGAATACTGATATGGCCAGGTCACGATCCAATGAATACTGGTATTGCCAAGTCACAATCCAATGAATACTGATATGGCCAGGTCACAATCTAATGAATATTTATATGGCCAAGTCACGATCCAATGAATACTGATATGGCCAGGTCACGATCCAATGAATACTGGTATTGCCAAGTCACTATCCAATGAATACTGATGTGGACAGGTCACGATCCAATGAATACTGA